AGAGATTTAAAGGAGAAAATCAGCATAATCAATTGGGGCTAGTAAGAAAAAGGAAGGCAATAAATCTTTAAGGGATTATAAGACATGGCTCTATGTAGATAAATTACACAAAATTGTAAGGTGCTGAATTCTGCATGAGAGGATGCTTTAAACCATTCTAATAGCCAAAATTAATTAAAGGATACCTATGACAAAGTTATCCTTATCCATGTTGTCTTTAACCCTGGAAACATTAATGACAACATGTATTTTGAGCAATATAATCTCTTATGATAAAGAACCCCCAAAATGCTCACTAGTTTATTGAGGAGAAAGCTGAACTCTGATTTCTCAATTCAATGAATTTATCCTATTGTCTCATCATTTATTTTCATTCATTCCATTCAGATGCAAAATGGCTTGATAGTTTTTATTAAATAGATTCAGCAAAAGTTTGCAAATGTATTGTTTATTTGGAATGTCTTTAAAATTTATTTTATATATTACTAATTTTACACCTTATGGAGAAGAAACCAAAAGTTTAAAAAAAAAACCTGGAAAAAATTAAAGAGCTTGTGGACACAAACACAAGATATACTATACCAGTTTTATGTAAATTTTTCATGAGTGGTATGCAGGAAATTATTTCCCCTTAAATACTTAAAACAAGAATCAAAGATATTGGGAATCAAGTCAGAGAAAATAAAATTGCAATAACAATTATCTATAGCAGTAAGAATGCCTAGGTAAAGTATACAATAACAATTGACTCAATGAAATAACTTTTCATTTTTTTATTCTCAACTGCATGATAGCAAAGCTGCTTAGCTGTTAAAGCTAGTAAAGCTGTTTTCTAGTCAGGAAACAAATTAACTATTTTTATATCATTCTTCTCAATGATAACACCCACAATTCTGTCATGCTGTCCTCAGAGGTTTGCCTAGTATCTATTATGTTTACTTGTTGATGAGTAAAATATCTTTTTTTCATTTTATAATGTTTTTTAAGAATTTGGATAATTGTTGCTACATTTCTTAGAAAATAGTTACATTGCCATCATTTGCAATTGTCCTGTTCAGTTTAATGTTTTTCAAAAATTTTAGATACCTTTAAATATAAACTTACAGGGTATATGAAGAGTGCTATTAAATATTTATAATAAACTATAATTAAAATGTTATACTACACTCTAAAATAATTTTTTTATTCATTTGTATCTGCCTTTATTATTTTTACAAATAAGGCAGTGAACATCCAACACACCTTCCTCCACCTGTTTTCCTCACAACAACCCTCTGAGCTGGACTGGACTGAGAGCAAGTGACTAACCCAAAGTCAACCCGCTGGTTTTCATGGCTAAGTCAGGAGTTGAACTCATGGTCTTCTGCTTTGTAGCCTGGTGCCTTAACCACTAGACCAAACTGGTTTTAATTTTATAAGCTACTGATTTTGTATGCTACTCATTTTATATGCTACTATTCATAATACACTGTAGTGTTTATAACCTGATGTTCTGTAGTATTCATAACATAATATACTATTATCTCATTTTATTTGCTATTTATAATAGCTAAAGAAAAACTTAGGTCATAATAAAATAATAAGCAGATTGAATTACCATGTTGAATGGAGATATCTCTTCCTTTGTAGAACTCTCCCATCGTGACCACCGAGCCCTGTTTGGATGCCACAATGCGGACTGTTCTCCTGCTATCCACACAGTCCAAGTACGGATCCCATTCCAAGTTCCTCTTGTTTATTGCCTGGATCCCTGCGGAGACAACTCCCAGAGCTTGTCCCATGCGATCTTGGCAATAGGATTTGAATTTCCATTGCACCACAGCTGGTTGTGTGGAAGAAGTTGAAAAGTGGCATCGAAGCACAACTGATTGAAAGAGCATTGCCACCTGTCTCGTCTCAGGCACCATAACATGCACGGCTTCAGTCACAGCTACAAAGCAAAATCATAAATGTTACCAACTTATAAGGTATATATCATCTACTCAGGATGCCCATTCCCGAATGATAAATGGGAGATGGCTGGTTTCTAAGACTTATCATCTAGCTGTGATATTAGAAGAAACTGTGCCAAAAGAACATGGATAGCAAGATAACAGTGAATTTTAATGCTAGAAAATGGTATGTTGTTGTTTTATCTACTATAAATAACAGTGGCTTATCAAGTCATACTTATGACTTAGATTTGCTTTTCAGTGAACCATCGCTTGACATTTAATGTGAAGCAAAATGTGGCTAATCTTAATTCTGAGTTGCTTCAAATAAATCACTAATATTAATTCATTTTAAGCTACTTATCAACAATTGGTAGTCACAATGGCTACATATTACTTCAAATAGTGAAGGCACTATGTTGGCCAAATCCATAAAATATGACTTCCTGGCAATTATGTTGATGTGTTACTTTTAAACTTCCTACAGACATTCATTTAGTCACTACCTCAGTATCAGAGTATTAAAAGTAATTAAGTATTTAAGTATTTAATAAATTTATAGGCCGCCCAATCCCGAAGGGCTCCGAGCGGCTTACAGAAATACATTT